AGTTGTACTACCAGAGAACGAAAATGCATCCGATTGCCGGAGACGGCCCTTTTAGTACTAAAGTTGTACTACCACAGAGAGAAACCGGCCCGCAACCAAAACTTGGAAAACGATAGGCCACTCAAAAATCCAATGTACAAGGCCCACACTGGGAATTTAGACCGTACCTCATTTGGCTTTTACGGGTTTTGTACAGCTTGCGCTGACACTTGCGCGCAGGCCACCAGTCGCGCGCATCGGTTGACCTCCCGTGACCCTGTCAAAGCGTACTGCCTCTTCACGCAGGCGTGTTGCTGGACGGTTGTTTTCAGTCGCTCATGTGACAGTAAGAAGTGAAGAATGAAGCTGGAACCGAGTCGAATCCAACTTGCCGGTCTCAAGCCAATCAATGCGGGTGAGAGAAGGGAAGACTCAGCATCACCGACGTGAGACGATGAAACTTAGGCCATTGTGAGCAGATTGAAGTGCTTCGAGAGCCCCCAGTGGCTCGGAAGTTCTGATACGGACCTTCAAGCTTTGAGCGCAGTGCAAGCATAGCATCATGGAGTTTGGGCTTGGACTGGACGAGAGGCTGCTAGTCAATGCAACGCAAAATGGCTAGGAACATTTTTGCAGACTAGGTGGAGCCGTTGAATGACTGGTGTATGATTCGTTGCCAGAGCTTCATCCCTGGCACATGTCCGCCTGTCGCAAGCCTGTGATTCGTGGTCAATCTAAGCCAGGACACTGTGGAGGAGCGCAAGGCAGCGGTTCTATCCTTCAAGCTGCAAGCTCAGCATGGGAGTTGGTGTTGATCATGAGCACAAAGCTCATGCCCTTGCGATGGCAGTTGTGGCGACTGGTGCTTTTCTTGCCATGCCTCAAACATACCCTGGAGTTTGATTTTGGGGAGTCCTATGCCGTTTGTTAAAGCAAGTTTCTGCTGACAAAAGTGCCCTGGAAGTGGCAAGCGCGGCAGCACGACGCGAGACAATAAGAAATCAGAGAGTCAGTTCTTGTTTTGCATGTGTCTTTTCGGCACCTGTGGCGAAACCATAGGCGTGCTTCTGTCCATATGTGAATGTCTCATGATCTTATGGCTTCTGACAGAGTAGCCAGGATGTGGTGTACTCGCTTATGGTAAAGTCAGGTACAGACTTTCCACGAACGTCATGGAAGCCTTGGACTTGGAGCAGGACGAGCTTGGCCAAGAAGGCAGGTGAGAGCAACTGAGACGGTTTTGGGCTTCCGCAGTGGACCGTGGCTTAAAGCAGAGCTACTGCGAGGTCCAGCAGTGGTGGGATCCTCCAGGTGTATATGGGGGATAGGGATATTGCCCCAATAGTGGAGAATCAAATGGAAAAGAACATGGAACATGAAATGGAACCTGGTTCAATGTTTAGGGGATTCTTCAAGGCTCTCTCCACGTACCCCGCACAACGTAGCCTCTTTCCTGCTAACGTTAAGAGATTGGGTTAGCTTGAGACTTGCAAGGCCAAAGCGAGGAGCTGCGAAAGGCCATGCGCTTCGTGGTTGGGGTCTAGAGCTTAGAGCTTCTAAGATCTCACTAGTTGAGTTCACTAGTGTTCTGGGCCACTTCTTCTCAACAGAGCCAGGCCGGGCAAGGGGCTTTGTACTTGTTGTGGTCCGGGGTCTAACAGAGATGTTGCCTAAACTTCCTACCGTTGTACTCGTCCTACACAGGTCTGGATCATTTTCAGACTTGTGCAAGATCTTGTCTTCGGCAATGGGCAAATCTGGTAATGCATGATGACAGGTAGATGGAGAGGAGCTGCGCTTGTCAGGCTCTCAAACCTTGGCTGATCTGACTTGCTGATGCGATTGGGATGATGGAAAAGAAAATGGAAACTACCATGGTATACTGGGGTTATATAGGGGATAATTGAAAAGAGAATGGAAACTACTATGCTTAGCTGATGGGTTGAATGATGAAATCCAAGCTGGGCAGCAAAAAAGTTCTTGCTGTCAAGCGTTAAGCGGCTTCAATGTCAAAGGCTGATTTGTGCCGGCTCCCAAAGCTCCAATCCTGCCAATGCCTGGTGCTCAGCCATGTGAGCTACTGTATGATAGTCCCCCATATAATCCTCTCTATAGCCCCTTTTAAAGAGTTTAGATTATGGCTCATGTCATGTATTGATTTCCCTGGAGGCGCTGAAGCCGGATTCCCTTTGTGTGCAGTGTGCTTGTGTGGGACCGGAGTCCTACAAATGATGCTCATCAAGAGGCAGGCAGGTCAGGAATTAATAAAGACTTGCTCACATGTATTCGATTGAAAGAGGTAAGTGGCAAACTAGACACACAAACAAACACAACCGAGACCGCAGTGTAGTAACAAAGCGCTGTAGATGTTGCAAAAGTTAAAAGAATCCAGGACGACGAAGAAAGGAGCGCAAGCAACTCCTCGACAAAATGCAAGAACAAGAACGACCAAAGGAGAGAAAGAACTAAACCTGCTGGGGGTTAGTAGGGAATAAGTGAATCTAATCCTTAAATTATCCCCATGTAAGATATTCCCTTATTTCCTAGGAACCCACAGTAAGGAGGCCAGGCATCCCATACAGGGGGTGCAGCTAAGGTAGCCGAGTCTTGCTAAAAAAAGTACCCTAGGACATTACTTGGCCCCATTGCATTTCCATGTGTCGAGTGCGCAGCCACAGGGTTTACGTATGAGGTATGGGGAGTCATGCCCCCAAGGCCACTGACAGAAAAAAAGAACGGGTCCTAGTTTAGAAGTCAATGGTCCCACGCATTGGAGCAGGCTGCGCTGCCCCCACCGGACTCCCCAACTGACTGGTTCTTAGTGGGAAAAAGGGCATATAATCCCTATGTCCCAGTAGAGAACATTCCCATATTCCCTACTAAGAATCAGTAAGCCAATCTCTTGGCCGGACCTGGATGCTGGTTCCGTCCATATTTCAGGTTCCTTTCTGCTCATTTTCATGATGTCCTTGCAGACGGGCGTTGGGCCCCACCCTCCCGCAGGTTTCACATGCTGCAGTTTAGAGTCCTTGGCCGCTCTACTAACCTCGATTGGCAGAACGGACAGACGTCGAGGCTTCTGTGCACTTCCGACCTCGTGCTATTCACAAATTTGCAGCCTCTCAACGGGCTTCAAACACGCAAAGGGTTCAACTTTCAGGTTCCCTAAGCATATCTGTGCAACTTACTGCATAAAAGCCCTGGACACCCTCCATTCCCTCAACTTGCAGCTTCATCCGAGGATCAGACGTTGGCAACCAGCCGCGGCCTTTGCATAATCCGGTGTTGTTGACCAGCCAGTAACATAGACGCACGTCGCAATTAGTGTCAACTGCCCTTCCCCCTAATTTGGATCCCTCTAACCCCCTCATGTTGAACATTCCTTCCTTCATAATTAATGTATAATGGTCAATTGTTCAGCTAATGAATGTCAGCTGCTCGCAGCTTCAGCCTTTGTGTGAAGGCTACTCACAGATGCACAGATACTTGCTTTTTGGGTATGCAGGCCCAACAATGCAACAAAGCTGCGAGCATGCAGGGGTTTGTGGACATTGAGACGTAGGAGATAGCGGGATGTAGGCTACAAGGATATGATAGTTTCTTCAAATAGGGGACCTTAATATAGATTCCAATATACTATCATCCTTATTGTAGGAACCCCCAAAATGGTTCCCCTAATTTTCAGGCAGCTCCCCCATATACGCTTTGTAGAAGTCTCTGGTAGATCTGGAGGTGCAGAGGATGAGGCTGCCATGGCAGAGGCCCTGCTGCCAGCCTCAGACTTCTTTCCATTTATTTTTTCCATTTGATTCTGCATTGTTGGGTCTATATCTTTTTAAGATACCTACATACCGCCCAACTTTTAATCTTCTCATCTATGCGGTAGAGAGAAAGATCATGAAGTTTGAGATGCAAGCCAGGGCAGATTGCTTATGATATAAAACTTTTAAACTGATGCTGCCCGATTCAGGAAGGGCGACCCATTGTCTTTGTGAACGCCTTTCTTCTGGCCCGATCTGGTTCCCATCCTGGGACTCAACCATGATGCAGCTGAACTTCTCCTCCCTTGGGCTTTCATACGACTTCCTTGCTGGATGTCGACTAGCCTTGCTTGTATGGTTCTGGTTCCATGCCTCCTGCAATGACACACATTGTTGATGGTAGTTTCTTCGGCATTCCTGCAGGTCTGAAATCCTTGCGTGTCCCAACCCTCACCGGGTCCCCATTGCTCAGCTGCTTCCCACTGCCCCACAAAGTCACACTGCAGCTTCCGAACCCCAAGAGCTGAATATATTAATTGTAGTTTCCATTTTCTTTATCATTATCCCTATACCACCCCATATAGGTGACCCTATATGACCCTATGTACTCCCTTGGTTAAGATTTTCGACTTTGCCAGGCAGATCCCGGCGAAAGCAAGGATGCTTCCAGTGACGCCACGAACCCAGCGCCTACTGAGAGAGGTGGAGATGTCTCTCTCACTGCAGGGATTCTAGGACTTCAGCTTAAAGAGTTGGGTTGTGAATGTTTTTCCCAGAGCCCTAGAATGCCCTAGAAGCCATCAGTGCCTGGGCCGATGCTCTGGTGAAGACAGATGACTGCTTTGAAGTTCGCAAGTTGTGGCTTCTTGTTAAGTGCGAGTCGCAAAGAGTCTGACTATCCGGTGTGTCAAGTTGAGGAGGAGGATGAAGAGCCTGGACGACCAAAAGGCTTGGAGTCCCAGGGCGTGACGTTGTCATGCTACTGTAATCTGGTCTGGCAGTGGGACTTGTCAGGCAATCGCTGCCCACTATATCCAGCGCTTGCTAGGCTTGGTCTTGGTGAAAGGGATACAGTGGTGGAACCAGATGAGATTTGGATGATTTTCCTGAAGGCTGCGACCGCCACGTCTGAAGCAGCTCTGGGTTGGGAAGCTCGCAGCCCAGCAACGCCCAATAATTGGCATCAAGCATTGTTGCTTCAGCAAGAGAAAAGAGCTAGAGAAGATTTACAGTTCAATGGCTTACGTCTCGTCCCTTGCTTTTGTCGGGCCACAGTCAAGTTCTCAGGCAGTGTGAAACTGTGGAAGACCACACTTCAGCCTCTGGAATCCTTGCCTCGGTTCTGAATTCTGAGGTATGGCGACCCTCAAGATGCAGAGCTTTGGGACCGATCCTTTAGCCATTGGCCGTCTGTATTCGATTTGTGGTGGATCGAGATGGCTGGTTCCGACAAAGTTGTGCTCTCTGCTGCGGGTTTTCTGGTTTCATCTGGGCTTTTGATTGTGCATCAAAACCTGAAGAAGGCACTTCCTGCTAGCTTAGAAACCCCCAACAGGCACGATGCCCCATCACTGATGCAGGACTGGTACACGGTGAAGGGGCACCGAGAGGCACTACATCGCCCTTCACATATGCAGACAGGGACAGGCTTAAAGACAGCCTAGTAGCCCTTGAACATCTACTTCATCCGCTGCAAACAGACAGAAGAGCACTGCCAGTCAAGAAGTGTCCAGCAATTTGTGGCACTGGGTCTGCTATCAGCAGGTCCACGAGCGAGCCCCATCTTTCAGCACCGCCCCATTGAGGGAGCAGAAGACAAGCACTCGCCTCACTTTCTCCGCCTGCTGAGATTATCAGGTCCTTCCGAAGGGATTACTGTGAATCTTATGTCTTGCTTGGTGGTCCTCTGAAGCTGCACAAGAGGATTTAGCACCCACCGTGCCCTAAGGTTCGAATCCGGAACGCTGGCGTCATTCCTCGGTCCCCTTTGCCAGCCAGCCAAGCCGGATCCGAGATGCTGGATACTCACAGCCAGCCCACGGGTTTAGATCGCTGTCAGGCCTGTTGGGGCGATCAGGAAGGCTATGTGCCAAGGGCGCTTGTAAACTTGTCTCTCGGGTCCCGGGTTGCACTGGGATTTGGGCTTGACTCCAGGCCACAACCGAAATTTGGGTTGCGCATCCAGGCCCGAGAGCGTGGCGATCGGATCGCCACTGTTCTCCTGGCAGAGGGCGTGCAGAGGGCTGAGCTGCAAGTAATGACACCACTGTCAAAGAATAGTCCACGCACTGGTACACCTGAAGCAAAAGTGAAAGGACTCGACTCACCCTCAGCCTTGTCTGAGGAGCTGCCGCCTCTTCATCCCGAGTGCTCTTCAGCATCTGTTCGGTGAGGTGCACCTGCCGGAAGTCTCGGGGTCGGAGAATGCTAGTCACTGAAGCTGCGATATGGGCATTGGTGCAGATTTGACAAGAACCTGTCAGCACCCTTCATGCTTGCGCGCTGAGCAATGACACCACTTGGTCTACGTCGTCCTTGCCGAGAAGAAGCTCAAGGTCTAGTTGAGCACTTTGCAGTTCACGGAGCGATGCCAGGACCAGCGAGGTTTGTTTACTCGGTCACCCACAAACGGCGAAGCTGCCTTTCCAGCAGGGAGCCCAGAAATGCCCGACCTATCTTCAAAAGCTGTGGTTGTAGAACTTTGCAGATTGTTACTACCATTATTCCTATTATTCCTGTTGCAACTATTTATTATTCCAATTAATACTAGTACAGTTCTTACAATCCGCCAGGGAGGGGACTGAGGGCCAACAGCAATCGTGAACCTACAGGTAGGTCAGCGCACTTTCAGGTGCTGACGCCATCCTCAGGACGGTCTGCGCTTGACGAGGAAGTCGGGCTGTGCTGCTGCCATGGCTTGAAGTTTCTTCAAGAGTGAAAGCAAAGGTAGCAAAAGCAAGCAAGCAAGCAAGCAGGAGACGAACGCGGGAGTAGCATGGCGGAATGGCGCATGACAGGCTCGACATTTCTCCTGGCATGGTGGATGAGAGCGGGAATGCTTTGAAGTTCCTTCAGATTGTTGCAGCTGGAGTCTTGGGAAAGCCGTCAGACTGCATAAAAGCAGAAACAAAGATCATGCAAACAAACAATCCTGCTTAAGTTGGATACTGGTAGCATCAGCTCCAACTAGACCCACTCAAATTTTGAGCTTCGCACCCTCTCAGATCAGAGACGCTTCTGCTCCTGAATAAAGATATTGATAGTATCAGTAACAGTAATAGTAATAGTAAAAATACCAGGAATAGGAATAGCAAAGTTAGAAATAATCGCATGAATAGTAATAGCAGAAAGAAAAATGATAGTCATAATAGACAATAATGAGTAATAACAATGGATTTAGATATTCTATTGGACTTCGCCTTGAAGCCATCCGCGCTGCAAGGTGAAGCCCTCTGAGGTGGAGAAGCCGCTGGGCGCAAACAAACTGCACCTGCATCCATAGGAATAGTTGTACTAGGAATACTGATAGTAATAGTAATAGTACTAGTAATAGTAATAGTAACCTCCTTAAAGGGGGTCATATTGGGGATCACATAGGGGAGTATAATAAAGGTATACAAGGGGATCCTAGGAATAATGCTACTCGTAGGTTTTCAAAAATAGTAATAATACTATTAAAGGGGGTAATCTTGGGGATCGTCTTATTAAAGGGGATACTAGGAGTTTAGACTATAGTTCATCTGCGAGTTACGGTTTCCCTTCGGCTGTGACCCCGGCTTAATTAGTGGAGCAGAGCACGGACGTGCGTCAAAATCTGAGGTATCGGATGAGCGCTCCATTCTTTGTCTCGGACTCAAATGATTAGTTACCCTGAACATGCTCGTTTTACTGCTGCATGTCACAGTGCACAGCAGTCAGCAGCCCGCGGTAATGAGTAATCTACTCCTTCCTGGAACATAGAAGCAAAATGGAGGTTGTTATGGAGCTGCCCACCGTTGTTACGGCGCGCCGCTCAGATGGTTGAGGATGCACTGCCTCATGCTGACAGGTTCTGACACATACATTGATTGTATGTAGCTGGTGCACGGTTCATATTCCGCCGTGGTACAAACCCTGCATGGGAGGTTTACGGGGGTTTTCGTGAGGTGCGGTGGGAATTTCGTTCGTGTTTCAAGAACATGCGGTAACCAGGGCCTCCATGCACAAACCATAATAACGATCGTCTTCCAAAAGCATACGGTAACCAGTGCATCCATGCCCAAACCATAACAACGTTCGTCTTGCAAGTGCACACAGTAACCAGTGCATCACTGCCCAAACAATAATTCTGTTCGTGTTCGTGTTCTACTGAGTGCGATTAGGAAAGCATCCATGCCCCGAGCATTATTCCGTTCGTGTTCCAAGAGTATACAGTAACCAGTGCATCCATGCCCAAACCATAAGTCCGTCCGTGTTCCAAGAGCATACGGTAACCAGTGCATCCATGCCCAAAGCATAATTCGGTTCGTGTTCCAAGAGCATACGGTAACCAGTGCATCCTTGCCCAAACCACAAGTCCGTTCGTGTTCCAAGAGCATGTGGTAACCAGTGCATCCATGCCCAATCTGTTCGTGTTCCAAGAGCATACGGTAACATGCCCAAACCATAATTCCGTTCGTGTTCCAAGAGCATACGGGAACTAGTGCATCCATGCCCAAACCATAATTCCGTTTGTGTTCCAGGCGCATACGGTAACCAGTGCATCCATGCCCAAACCGGAATTCCGCTGATGTTTGTGTTCAAGTGATTGCGACTAGCAGTGCACCCATGCCCAAACCATAATTCCGTTCGTGTTCCAAGAGCATACGGTAGCCAGTCCTTGCGCAAACCATAATAACGTTCGTGTTCTAGCGAGTGCGATTATAGGAGGGCATCCATGCCCAAAGCATAATTCTGTTCGTGTTGAACTGAGAGTGGTTAGTAGAGCATCCACGCCCAAACCAGAGTTCCGTTCGTGTTCCAGGAGCATACGGTAGCCAGTGCATCCTTGCCCAAACCATAATTGCGTTCGTGTTCCAAGAGCATACGGTAACCTTTGCATCCATGCCCAAACAATAATTCTGTTCATGTTCCACGGGGTTTTCTCTGACAGCCTGCGAGCACTGCGAAACATTCCGTCCTAACGACGACGTTGTTCGCTTGGGAATTTCCATGCTATCCTTGAACAACTAAAGTAGTTCCCGGCGTTCCGAAAAACAGAGTGCGTATTGTATTTTACATTTTACATTACGAAATGCGTTTTCTGTAGGGAAAATGCTCCAAAATCGTGCATTCGCCTTACGCATGCTGAAAATACTGGTATCTTCCAAGCGATCAGCCTCCTTTTTGTATGTCTCTTAGACCTCGAGTGGCTTTCGAACCACGGCGGAATACGCACCGTGGACCTAGTTCCTGTCACTCCCCATCCCGCGTCCAGCAACCACAGACTTCAAGCATTAGACTTGTAGTAGTTGTAGCGCCTATTCGTTCGCGTTTGTGTGTGCTAGCTCCGTACAAACGACTTGCTGCAGGCCCACGGTTTTTGAGATACTGCGTGTGGATGGATTTCAGCAGTCTTGTCATGTTACAGTAGGTGGCAGGACCTCGCTCAATCTGGGACTGGACAGCACATGTCTTCAGCCTCATATCTTGAATTGTTTGATAGTTCTGCAGATACAGAAGACCAGAGGTCACTCATCCGTGCTACGGCAAGCAGAGACCTGAGGTCAGGCCTCTGTGGTGTGATGGGCGGGCTTCGCAGTCTCAGCACTAGCCACTACTATGTTAGGCTTTGTCATCCGCATAATTAAGCAACATGAAGCATGACGTGCAGTGATGTCAATGCTGGGTTCTCACTACCAAAGTAGCAGGACCTGGGCGTTGGATGTGCTCGGCACTGGCTGGTCAGGCCCTGGCTGGATTTAGAACTTTGATGCTACTTGTTGTGCTTGGTCTAGGCATGAAGCTGAGTCAACGTAGGACCAAGAAGCATTCAAACATGCCTAGGGTTGTCTAGGTTTCACGCTGACCTATGAATGTTGGTGTGCCCTCGGCTGGAAGGCTAGCATCGTCACTGAGGATGACGTATGCGCAGCGCTCGGTAGATGCAAGCCCTGCTCTTCTGGAAGCATGGGAGCAGCTACCATGTCTGCGGCAGACTCTGCATCCATCAGGCATTCTTCCTGGATGATTCGGTGAGGTCCTGGCGAGGAGTGACCTTGGCGCGACCACCTAGTCTGATTCATTTTGAGTTGTATCGAGTTAGGGCTCTCTGTGCAAACTGTGTTGTGCCTTGGGTGTGTCCAGAATTTCTCTAGGCCGAAGATCAGCACAACCTTTTCGGAGTGTCATCCAGCTCCAGAGTATCAGTCTCAGCGGCTTGCAGGCTAAAGCGAGTCGGAAGAAGAACCAGTACTGTAGCTAGCAGATGCTTGCAGATTCCTGGTTGGCCTTGATGGTTTCGACCAGGCTTAACAGAGTGAAGCCCAGCTCACTGGCCAGCCAAGGCAAAATTCACGCCAGTTCCCCTTGCAAAGGCCCGGCTAGCAGAATTGACCAAGTCGCGCCGCAGCATTTCTGTCTTTTGGTACATCACATTCCGCGAATGAAAGCATTCCTTGACGCGATTTATGCTCGTGCCGCTTGGGGATCTCACGCCAGCTTCAGAGGTCATGTCGTACTTGACTGCGCCGGAATTTGAGGACCGTGGCGAGGGGCAGAAGACGCCCAAACGTGAAGCCTGAGAAATCCAATGCTTGTACGTACTGAAGACACGTAATTAGATACGAATGTGGCGCGCTTGCGAAGGAAATATCTGCCTTCACGGCATTCGGATTCGCCAGGCTGGATTTGGTTTAGAATTGGTTGGTGTGCCTGCCATAGCAGCCGGCAAGGATGGCTCCGGAGCTCATTTATTGCAGCAAGGCTTTCAGCAAGAATCTTAGCAACAGCATTGCATGCCCTTCCTTCGGTGCACAGAGAGAATGAGCTGAGGAAGGGCGCAGGTTTACTCTGGTTTCCTTCTGAACGTCAAGAAGGCGCATGGCCAAAGCGGGCTAAAGTCAAATTACGTCCGCAAGGTCAAGTTGTTCTTGGTCATGTTGGTGTGAGCTGCTCGGTTACAAGGTCGAAGAGGAAGGCTTGAACTACAGGCAAGCGGCTCAGTGGCTCAGTCAAAGCCTACGAGGCAGAGACCGTGCCTGATACTGACAGAGACCGTGCTGCCAGGCAGGAGGTCTTCGTTTGGGAGGAACGGTCCAATGTTGCCCCACTGGGCTCACGCTTTGCAAATCGATCTGCAATCAACTTCACGAATCAGTTTCACCACTGGCTTTCCAGGACGTGGTCTTCAATCTGCAAGCTCATGATGTGGTGAGAAGCAATCGCTTTGCACAAGCCTCGGGATGCTAACATGGCCAAATCGCCAGACTTTGACTTTGTAGAGTGGCCGGAGGCCATGGTGAAGATACCCTTCAACAGTGGCGGCTGCTCCGAACAGATTGCTCGAACCGCAAAGCCCTTTGTCCGCGTGAGGCACCTGGTAGCGAACACTACGCAGTACGTAGATGCTTCAGCATGATGCAACAGCCACCGTCGCATGTCGTTGCCTGCTCCCCCCGCCGCTGTCACAGATCAAGACCGTTAACAGGACAAAGTGACATCAAGGGTTTCGGCACCAAAAGCATATTGTTTAGTAACGTGCAAGAATATCTCGGAGCCATGTCCCCGCCACAGATGGAGGCAAAACTGGATGCAAATGCCTTTCCAGCCTTTCACGACTTGCTTCAGGCTTGCGAGGACTCCTGCTTGCTGTCCTGAGATATCTTAAAAAGAGCACCAGAGCACATCAGAGCGTCTAAGTCTAAGATGTTCAACAACGAAGGCGGAGTATGCCGCAGATCTGAAAGATCTCGAAATCGCCCTGTTAAACGGAGGACTATGCGATGCTCAGCGGATGTCGGTTCCAGTCGTTTGCGTTCGATGGCTCGGATCTGACCGGGCGGGTGGCCGACTCCAAGCTTGAAGACTGGAAGGCGAGCCTGATAAAAGTACACACAGGTCCAATGACCTTGTTAGACGTGCGCATGTGCAAGCAATTCCTTACTGAAAGCATGACTGGGTGTTCCCGTCAGGCTGCAGTTCAGCGAGGATCTGTGAAGGTGAAAGAGTTCACCAAGAGGCTACAGGCCCAAGAGGACCGACGCCTTTCAGGCTAACGGGCATTGGATGTCTCGAAGGATCCTCCAAGCAAGAGCCGAGTGAATTACTCGTAAATTATCTAAAAGCTGGCGCTGTGGGGCTATGTTAGCAGAGGAGTCGTTGCTGCAGTGCGTGGACGTCGCATACCGGCTGGTCCTGGCAGAAGGGGTTCCTTCGGCCTTCCAGTCAAGCAGCCATTTTGTTGCAGCTTGGGCTGTCTCCAAAAGCTCATCCATGGGAAGTGCTATACTAGAACTTAGGTAACTACAGCCAGAACCGTGAAAGTGGACTTACCTCCATGTTTGAATGGGGCAGCCTTTGCTGACAAGTCAGATGGCCTAGGTTCGTTCGGGCATCATCGCCACGTGCAGGGAGCTGTCGCTTTGGCCGCCCATCCCGAGCCCTGCTGTAGAAGCCGATGATTGCTGTTTCCAAGACACTTCCGCCCCTTGGCCGTGTTTTGAGTTTTAGGACTCGGTATTGCGCAGCTTTTGACGACTTGTGTGCTGCGAGGGCCTTGGGAAATGAAAAGCATTGCTGCAGCAACCACAGCAATCTGTACGAGAATTGTGGGGGGGTCATTTCCTGATTCCCCAACTAGCCAGGCACCACTCCCGGTCATTGCGCAGAGGGCTTTCAATGATGAGCAGCGGCGTGTGAGTCACGAAAGTTTCCGCCAGCTCTACAAGAAGGCTCCTGGTGCTTGTCGTATGTGACACTGTAAACGCCGTAAGGCAGAAGAGCGTGGATCGAATTCTGACCAACTTTGTAAATTAGCCGCTCGAATAGGAAATGAGCTCCGCAGCAAAAGGCGGCAGCAAACCGTCTTCCAACTCCACAACTTCTCAAGCAGCTCCGTGCAAGACTCCACCGCATCACTCCTACCTTCCTAACTCCCAGCAGGCCACCACTGCCTCTTTCTTGGTGGACTTTGCTGCAGAGGCCTGGCCCCGAAGTGCAACTCCAAGTGCGAACTTACCTTTGGCATACATTTGCTTACCGCTTCTCTTCGCCTTTCAAGGGCGCTCCCGATCACAGCTCAGTGGCTCTTGGTTGTTTATAGCTTGGCAAGTTCCGCTCGGCACGATAGGCCGGGCTCACACTCCCTGACCTGCAGAACTCTCGGACAATGCTGGAGGACAATTGAGAGAACGTTCTGTAAATAGCACCTCGCTCTCGCCTAGGATGATCCGTGCCTAGGCATTTTTCAAGCAGAGGCCAAAAGCTCGGCATTTCTTTGGTGTGTAGAGTCCGCGAGGAGTTTATGCAGCGGGTAGAGGAGTGGACGGAGCGCGGCAGCCGACTCTTTTCTGTAGCTGGAGCTTCAAATCTCTTGTCCTGTCTCTATGCTGTACGGAACTTTTGCTGCCTTCAACCAAGGCTTTCACCTTTGCCCACTCGCAAAGGCCAGAAATGCGTTGGTCACAGGCCTGGGTCAGGGCGGAATGGCGGCGGAAACAGCACGTGAGCTCGTGGCGCAGCGCTGGTCCAAAAACTGGGAGACCAGGGCGGGCACGGACGCTCGGCTGCAGACGGAGCTGTGAGTCCTACCTTCTTACGGCTAGCTGCAACAAGCAGGAATAGTTATGTGGATGACATCTCTGATCTTCGAGCTGCCTCCTCCCTCAGAACCTGCATCTAATGTACCGAGCTGACGTTGAGAAGTGTTTTGATGGGCGTTGTTATGACGGGTTGCCTTGGTCCTTGATGTTGACCAGTGTTGGGCAATGCTTGTGCCTACGGTGGGGTCGAAGAAAACATAGCGAGGATGATGATGCTACTAGCAGCAAGGCAGCAGCCCAGGCTGTGAATGTAGCGACTGCTGCCCTGGCAATCGGCGCGAGTGTCGCGGCCCTCCGCAGGGTGTCGCGGCCGAGGTAGGCAGAGGCGAGATGTGCTCCTGCCTGTGATTTTTGGAAGTTTCTGTAAGCTTAAGTGTATGTGAACAGATTCTTGGATAAGCAATTCGCGTAGCTTCAAGCTTGCGCGGGCTTGATTTGCGCAGTAAGTTAGGCACATCGCATAAGGTGCAAGATGGCGCAAGCTTGGTAGAAGACTTCTCCATGGCTTCCCTAGGATTCTCCTGCAAGGCATCAGCGACAATCAAAGCAGACGACAGAAGGATGTCTGTTCGCAGGAATCACAGAAGCGAATTCCTTACTAAGGGCGGCAGGTGGCAAGGCTAGAGTTCCAAGGTCCAGAAATTTTTCTGCAGCTCAGACAGTCTACAGAGCAGTTATGGGCTTACACGACGTAAGCATCTTACAGCTTCACGTAAAGCTCTGCCGTCCCCACAGCTACTTGAAACAGCTGGGTAGGTGCTGCTGCCTCTTTTTGCCTCAAGGCAAGGCACTTCTCATGGCGTATGCATGCTGCAGGGAATGTGTTTTTTTCGACACAGCCTCAGCAGGCTTCTCATGAATGGCTTTCAGGGCTTCTAAATTTGGATAGGGCTGGCATGAAAAATATAATCATGACGTGCCACATGGCTGAACTCTGGCAAAAGAGGGCAAGACATTGGAAGCTGCTGATTGCCGTTGCAGATTGCCAGCCAAGGTTCCACAAGAATGCTAGTGCACCGCTAGAAGTGGACCCCATGCACATATACACCGGTATATACATAACTTACGCGCGCAATCGGAGCTGTGACCCTGGCTCACATAGCATTCCCCACCATACCACCCTACAACACATGGCAAGTATCGCGTTAGCACGTAAAATAGAGGTACAGACGGCAACGCTTGAAGAATTGTCCAACGCATCTGAACCTGACGCGTAATGCAAGATGTTCTTGTCGAGCCTTGGTCATCCTGTTCTTCCTTTCTACAGAGCCCTAAAAACTCGACCCAGCCTTCTTCAGCATCTGCGAATGCGGTTGCCATAAATACTCTACAAACAAATTCCTTCCCCTTCAGAAGATCCTTGGTTGGCGAGGTTTGGGTTAGGTTTCTCGAGATTTGAACCTGCGCTGGTGGTGGCGACTGTGCTTCTGATTCATCCACCACTACTTAAGTTCTGCGCGCCGGAATTTGACAAAAGCTACCTCGTTTCTGCGATTTCCCTTGCCCTTATATTCCGCTTTATGAGGCTCTGAGTGTTACCCGTACCGGTTTGAACGTCAGGTAGCCTCACGGAACATGCCAACTTTTGCCTTCCCAATAGGTCCTCCGCATTGGATTCTTTATTTGTTTGACCCAGAGGCTCCCCCCCACCTAGCTTTGGAAACGCTCCGCCTGGACTCAAGCCCTTTGCAGCCGTCAGCCTAGAAATTTTGGATTTGATGTTTCTCTGGGACGAGTGTGGTGAGACCTTCTAAGATTCTGCAGGTTGGCCTTTGCATTCCATTGGAGCTCAGCATACAGACGGCCCAAGTGAGCCAGATAGGAATGTAAGCTATTGTACAGCCAGGCGCCTTGCATCCAATCCGGGCCGCTTAGGAAAATTGTCTGCCCGAAGCCGTGGAACTCCTGAACAAGTGGGCTTCAGCTTCAGGCAGGCTGCGCAGCCTTCAGGATCAGGGTTGCTACAGGTTCAATGTCATCCCCAATGCTGCTTGATCAGTTCAAAGAAAGATCATCCTAGAAGGCTGCGCCACGAAAGTGACTCACCCCTAGCCTGCCTTCACAGTACTGAGGACGGGCGGAAAAGAGTTCGGGCGTTCGGCGATGATCTATTGCTTTAGGAAGGCAGTTCTCTTGCGTAAATGGCTCTCAAATCAAGACCCAGCTAGTGAGCAACGGTCTCTCCTTGGCCATTGGTCAATGCTGAAACTGGCAAGCGCCTCTATATGTACAATTACGTACATGATAGCCGCACAGCTTCCCAAGACTTGATCAATTTAGTACTGCGCGGCCTGAGCTTTCGTTTGCGCCAAGTTTGACTACCGCGGCGGGAAGATGACGCCGGAGCAGGTCGTTGCAGAGACGCTGGGACAGGCATGACCTGAGCTGCCCTGGTACTACATTGCTATGTACAGGAGCTACGGAAAGTATTGAACTTGGATGCTACTTGCAGTTCTCAACAAAAGCTCAACAAAGAACACCTCGAGAGCCCATGTGCACACAGCATACATGACAAGGCTGCAGCCACCCAGTAGCCTCCAACCTAACATCCGGCCGTTGGCAGGCGCCTGAGCAGCCGACAGGCCGGTGCTGCAATGCGGATATTTAACCGGAATCCCAGAAAGTTGTCTCAAGGCTGTCATGAGATGTCTTAGTCGGACACGGATTTCAACCTTGCGATGCTGCATAGCCATGCAAGTGGCCAAAAGTGCCGAAGTGACTGTCATCGAGTTATCTTGACGTTCCTATTCTCATGCTACTGAATGTAAGCCCCGGAGAGATAATGCCTTCCATTTAGCTTTCAGAACCGCCCTGCTGAAGGAAAAGGCAAACGGGGTAGAAAGGCAGCCAGCTTAGCCCAACTCATGCGGGAGAGCAGAGCAGGGGTCATCCTTGCCGAGCAGATGAGATAAGCGCAGCACTTTGTATGTTGGGCAAGTGCGTCCTTGGCTTTTGTTCTTGGTTCGGACGTGAAGCACAAATCTGGGACCAGATAGTGGAATCTATCTTCATGCTGCTGGATGCTGAGGCCAAGGCAAAGGGCCCGCCTGAGGTCCAGGAGGAGCCAGACGAGACGATAGGATCCGGCTACACGCAACCTATTCCAGCAATTTGAGGAAGCAAACCTGTAATATTAGATTAGCAGTTGCGCTGCTGAAGCCTCAGCCTGAGAGAGCGTGCACGACACCTATCTCCCAGGAGCTGCAGCGGCCTGTGCCCTCAGATCCATTCCTTTTGGAGGAGGACCTGTTCTCTAATGCCAGTTCGCAGGGACTCGACTGGGTGGTCTGTTGCTCCTAGAAATCTGCTAGCTTTGGATGGGCTTCCATACGTCTAGATACAGGTGCATAACTGGCCAAATGATAGTCAGACTGCGAAAACAGGATCCCGCGCTGAAACCGGAAGGCTCGCTTCGGTCGCTTGAGGAGAAAACGGATTTTGGAGGAAGAGTTTGAGGGCGAATCCTTCCATGCAGATGTCCTGCACATTCCGCTGACCGGGGTCTTGTTGAGGTTCCTGAGCTTTCGACACTTAGGCGCAAGCTAGCAAAGGTCTGAGCGTACAGATCATGCCAAGACCAGTCTTGTGAGCCTCAAAAAGCCACGGCCCCCCTGAGAAGGTGCGGTTGTGGATGACAAGGGTGACCTTGTGCTCCTTGTCTGACGTCAAGCTGACTTCCCCAAGCACAGCATGAAGGATCAACTCTCTATTGCTTAGCTAGTCGCTCTTCAAGACCTCATCTCCTCGATCCGCGTCTGAATCTAAGGAACTCCTACTACAAGCGCTTCATCCAGGCCTTCAAGGATGCAGAAAAGGCTTCTCACAGCTTGCTCTTGGACTCTTGGCTGTTGCATTCTAAACTGGAATGGTACCAGAGTTCCCTTGCCCGACCAGGCCCGCGCAGACGTTGCAGCGCCTGGGGCCCAGAAAGCTGAGACCCTCCACACGTGGTTTCCCGCCAGCCAGCCTCGTCTGTCGAAAGTAAGCTGAAGGGACTCCGTCCAGTAAGGGTTGTGTTTTGGTGGTCGGCCTTGAAGTAAGCCACTTGTCACATTCCAACCCTTCAGGACGTTTGAGGAAATACTATTATTATTACTGTTACTTTTAGTTATTACTATTATTACCATTACTATTATATACTATTATTAATACAACGATTTTGTTATTATTTGGGTGCTATTCTTTAATTCAAGCCTGAAGCCAGTTTGCGCCAGGCCGACTGGGATAAAGCGACCTGGAGTGAACCAGCCCAGTCTTCCTGGGTTGCACGGGGATGTCCATCATCCCTTTTTCTGCTTGCTCTTAAAACGTAATAGTAGTAGCAATAATTGTAATTGAATAGTAACAGTAGTAATAGTCATAGTGATGATAACATAGTCCCCCTTAAGTAGATAGAATATAGGGTATGCCGGCACCGCCCCCGGTTCCGTGCTTCACGAAAAAATGGGGATATGATTTAATAAGCCCAAAGCCATATTCTACCTACTTAAAAGGGGGACTATACTCTACTGTAATGGGTTGTTGGCCGATGCGATCCCCTGAGCATCTTTGGACCCTTCAGGTGCGCCGTGGAGAAGACATCCCAGGCGACGTGATGGCTCGCATCCAAGATTCCTGTTATCGGGGTTAGCTGGGAATAAGGGAATGTAGTATATAGGTATTATATATGAATGATTATGTATGATATAGGGGTATCCTTAGTCCCTACTAACCCCATAAAGTCTTTGGGGGCATGGCAGCTTGCGACAGCATCTTGTGCATTTGCTTTCTCAGTTCTGGGATGACTCCCTGAGATCAAAGAAAGGCCAGACTTGCTTTGGTTAGACTTGCTTTGGTTCCCTGCAGTGTGAAGCTTGAATACCACTGATGATGTCCATTGTGACTGTCATTGCTGTGATTATCATTGCTGCTAGTATTCTTAACAGTATTATACTTATTGTTGCTGTTATTGTTGTTATTTTCACGAATCGGAGTTTTGGCCCAATAGCACGGTATCTGAGCTGTGGGGAAATCATGCGCTGGCTTTTTTTGCCACTGGCGCTATGGCCAGCCTTGACGGCCGCACGGGTCTATGGCTCTGGGACTATGCCGTCTGCAACTCAGACTCAGGCTTATGTAGCAAACTTTAGGTGGACCCCCCACCCTGTAATAGTGGTATAATAGGAATATAGGAGGCCATGATCCCTCATAGTCACTATTACTGGGTGGGGGGTCCACCCTGGAGCACACTGAGCTTTCAGACTCCACATGGATGCCACACCTTGTCTTTCAACCGGTCGGCGATGAGTCTTGCCAACCTAAACCGGGTTTCAGCATGGGTTCTAGCGTGCTGTGTGGGATCTTAACCTTTCCACTGCTCTGCAACTGGCAAAAACAAGGGGTCTATAAAGCGGCTGCTGTGTTGATTCAGACATCGTATTGTGCCAAGAAGGTGCGGCTGAAATTACTCGCTGCATATGCCTCATGCCGAGGGCCTCGGAGTTTTACGGCATGACATCGCCGAACACTGAAGGCACAGGGCGGGGGGGCTTCCTCAAGACCTTGTATTCTGAAGCTGTTGTTGCAGATCCGTGGGAAAGCAGCCTTCCTTCTGCCACTTGTAAATTTCTAGTTGATGAACCACGGTGGATTGCAGCCGTTTCCCCCAAGGTGGCGAGTTCAAGTTTGAGGAGCTACGTGGAGCTCGAGTTGTCGTCGTCACCAACGTGGCAAGCGAGTGTGGAGCAACTGCATCCAACTATGCTGACTTTAAGAAAATCCAGAAGGAGATCGAGGCCTGGCTCGGCATGGAGTTGAGCCGCGAAGCTGTATTCATATGTGGCGAGTATATCTCGCACCCAAGATATGCAGAAACGCAGGAGGAAAGGACGAGAGCACAAGCACAAATACGAGCAGACCATGAGGATCATGACAGCAGTTGAGTAGTTTTCAGCACAAGTGCCAGCGGCAACGGCTGTGGGAGGACTGCAGGACGAGGAGTACTCTGCCTCGCGCACAATCATTCACAGTGTCGCGTCCACATCAGAATTCTGCATTTTTGAAGGGATGAAGTATTGATGTATGATTTCCAGGTTCTTCCAGCATTCTGCTGGGTATAGCCAACATCAAGCCGTTCTGGCGAACTGAGCTAAAGCCGCCCAAACTCGCAGGAAAAAGACGAACCAGATCCGAGGCAGCGCAACAGATGAAGCATAGCAACAGATCATCAGTTAATTCTTCATCTGCTCCATTCATCTCCATACCATTCATGTCGTTGTCTGCTGGCCTGGGCTGCGTTTGAGTAGCTGTCTGTGTTGTTTATGTAGTTGCCACCATGCAGCATGCTCCCTTGGTCCCTTGGCCTTATGCTATGTGGCATTCCATCCTGGTCACCTTGATCCTTGGAGACCCACCATGCTTTTGAAAATCTGGGACACGGTGGTCGAAGGAGGCTGCGCTGGCCAGCTTCATCCAGCACTGGCTGGTGTGCGGTTGGAAGTGGGAGCTCTGTACCATCATGCCATGAAGGTATTCGCCAGAAAAGGTACATGTAGAGTTGATCGATGTTATGATGAGGGAGACCTAACCTGGCGATTGCCACCCGCCCAGCAACTGAGCATTCAGCGTTGGAGGGCATGCCTACCAAGCCAAATCAAAGTGCATCTTGGCAGGGCGTTCACGTCGTGGCGTTCCCATGTTGCCTGGATGCAAGAATGCAGGTCAGCCTAGATTTTCATGGACGGCTGGCGCCGTTCAGTCCTTTCTGGACAGCCCGCAGTGTGAGGCAACCAGTTCGGCCAGCAGGAGCCTGGAAGCAACTCTGACATCCGCCAATTTGCTGAGGATGGGCCTTGCTTTAGCATGGGGGTTCCCTCTCAGCATATGTTATATGCTCACATGGAGCACCACGGAAGATCTAAAAACCCTGCAAGGAAAGAGGCCTGACGGTGAACGAGCCTGGTTCGCGATTCCACCTCATGGCAAAGGTGCCCTCGGCTGCAGGGTTGTTTTCAGCTTCACAGAACTGTCCAGCCATGCAGACCCTCCTCGCAATCTCCGTGAGAGTAAGCCGCTCGCTTCCTACTTTTAGCCTGGTGCTTGGCCACAGTTATCTCAGGCAGATGTGAATGGAGCAGAGAAAGCCACAGCATGGGACAAGTTGCTGGAAGTTACCAGTTCCGGCCACAAGGCCGTGGTCCTGTAGAATCATGTGCTGTGCAGCCGACAACCTGTGCTGCCTTCATGGCAGCAAAGCAGTTGAGACGTTGCCTTCTGTCCCGGTCTCCAGCCGATGATTCTGCACATCCGGGTGCTCAATGTCCCAGCAAAGTGTTGGCAGTTTGCTTGCGGGGGGGGAGGGGTCTGGAGCAGGCGACGCAATGGAACTTTGCAACAAAATTTGTTGTGAAATGTGCTGATGAAGCAGGAAAATGCTTTGGCCCCAGCATGAGTTTCAGTCTTGCTGTGATAGCGCGTGCATTCTAATTAAACTCAGCCTATCAACATGAATTTCCTTTCATTGCCGAGGTTCCATCACGCGCATGGATGGATTTGGGACAATGGAAACATTGCGTCAGCAAGCAAAAGAAGTGTTGGCACCTCAGTTCCTGTGCATGCGCCGGATGTGATGCATGTGACGTCACCACGTTTGCGTGCAAGGTACCCCAGCCAAGGGGAGCTCTAGCTTCCCATCTGCGCAAAATGTGGCACTTGCCATGGCAGTCAACCTTTAGATGGTGTGGCCAAATAAGACTGAGCAATCATGTGGTGGTTCGTCAGTTTTAAGATCTATTAAATCCATTAAGTGTTGTTATGTGAAGGAAGATAGGTTCGGGCTGTTAGATTCACATGAGTTATCATGACTTCAAAGTGCACAGTGGGCTTGGTGTTAGACTGCACATGGAAGCTTTCCGAGACAATTGACTACCCGCCCCTCTGAGATGTCCACCCATCTCGCGGCTTCGGTTACGGTGCGCAATGTGAGCCTCGTTCCGCACTGTCTGCAATTTCGTTTCACCAAAGCAGACATGGGTGCTGCATAGGTTTAAAAAGACCCATCAAGCGAAGAAAACACTGGAACCTTTGCAGTGCCGTTGCTACGGTTTTGACCCAACCCAGGAACAAGAAATCACAATGAATGTATCCCTTGATGCTGTCTCATAGCACAATGTCCCAAGCAGTAGCTAGCGGAGGAAGCTCACAAGTGACTTCCGGCCAAGATTCGGGTGTTTTAGAGGAAGCCATACGGTACTTATGCCTGTATGCCATTTGACACTAGGTCCATGCGGGAGTGCAACTTAATCAATCACTAAGCCCAAGCAAGTAATCGCACGAGCTCCTCGCATCAAGACGAGCTTGCTGTCGCTTCGTCTCCTGTGCAGGAGTGACGCACTCGCAGGAGCAATGGGGCGCTGGTGGCCTGGCTGAAGCAAGAAGTAGCGTTCGCCCCATAAGTGGGCAGTTCCTCTTGGCAAAGTCAATTGGCTGGCTAGGCAGGAATCTTTACCAACGCCTCCTGGAATAAACTGCCAGTCTAGAAAGCTCAGGCTACATCGCCAAGCCTTTTGGTCCGGTCTGGCCCTCATGCATCTGAGTTGGTATGTGGCTCGCATGAGGAGAACTGACTGGGTTCCAGGCAGTTTAAGGAGTTTGCCGTGGACACTCCCACAAAGCCAATGATGGCCATTGGTTTCAATGTCCATATGCAATGCTTGCCCTGGCAAGTTTTGCAACGAAACCATGCAATACCTTTTGCTGGTTTCTCCCTTCAATGCATCCTGAACAAACTTTTTGTGAATCAAGAATTTCAGAAACACGCATGTTCACGTTGCTCTACTTATTCCATTCGTCAATTTTCCTGCGCCTTTGCTTGTACTGACTCGACGTACTAACAAACTACATGGTTGACAGGCAAACCAGCATGCAACAAGCGCATTCTGCGATTTTCTTCAACTCCCTACATTCCCGGACCTGGCCATCTACATTACCAAGTCTCCTATCGAAGTTCCCACTCATCACTTTGTGCATCTTCATATTGTGTTCTGGGGTGGCTTTGCAGGGGGAGGTTGTGAGCGTGACATCGGCACTATGCCATGCGGGATCTGAAGCCCTTCGCAATCAGGGAGTGTGGTGCCGATGTTCAGGCAGTCATACTGTCAGATGCGTGCTGGTCCAAGGGTTGCTTGCAAAGTTCTTGTGCCACTTGCCCTCCTGAGCATGAAAATACAGCAGTCTTCTCTCAAGCGCCTTTGCGCTCGCATCACGCCCTGATCGTCACATGAGCACCCCACGTTCTGATACTGATAATTCATGTGGGACGGTAAAATAACCCCGCGCCTCTTCGCTTAGAATTGGTGGGCCCCTTAAGTTTTTGTCCCTTTCACAAAAAGTCTTTACCGATAACCGGAGGAGAATTACCGATAAGGACAATTCCTTGAGAAGTAGCTCGGTCAGAGAATTTTTCCTTTCCCGGTGATGATTTTAACCGATAATGCTACCGATAACACGTTTGAGCACTTGAGACCCCTCGGAAGCCCATGGCCCCCGCCAAGGCTGTACAGTGATGCAGTGATGCAACTCAACTCGCCCGCTCGTAACACTCTACCGCTACCAGCCCAATGCTACAGTTCACTGTCGTAGCATGTGGTGAACCTCGTGGATACGTCCCTGAAGAGCAAGCCCCCAGTCAGAGGAAGTTTACCGATAACATTGGGTTAAGGAAACCAAGCTTGGGAACGTTTTTTTTTTTTTTTTGCCCCAGCTTGAAAACCCTAAACCTTGTAACCCTAAACCCTAAAACCCTAAAACCTTAAACCCTAAACCCTAAAACCCACACCCTTAAACCC